GTAGGGAAACTATTAACTATATAATATATTATTTGTGGAAAACTGACTCTCCTTATTGTGTAGGACAGAATTTTGGGTGGGCCTTCATGATATCTGTCCCCTATTATTCACTCCCTTATGTAATTCTCTTCCACTTGAGTGTGGGTGGGAATTGTAACTTGCTTCTAACCAAAGAATTTAACAAAGGTGATGGGATGTCATCTCTGTCTTACATAAAACTGTAGCTTCTGTCTTATTAGCAGATCTTCTCCCTTGCTGGCATTGATGAAGCAAGCTTCAGTGATATTCATTGCCATATGTAGAGGCCCATATGTCAAGAAAATGAGGGCAGCCTCTGACTAACAGCCAACAAGGAATCGAGGCCCTCAAAACAACAAGCCACAAGGATATGAATCCTGTTAATAACCATGTGAGTTTGAAAGCAAATCTTTTCCCAGTTGAGCCTTGAGTTGAGACCACAGTCTTGACTGTAGCATTGTGAAGGACCCTGAATCAGAGGAACAAACTAGGCTGTGCCAGTGTCCTGACTCAGAGAAACTGTGAGATAATAAATATGTATTGTTTTAAGTAGTTAAATTTCTGATAATTTGTCAATTAGCAATATATTAGTAATGACTCATACAACTATGACCAAAAAAAAGAAAAAAATGTTTCCTACCTCACAAAATAAGCAGAAATAAATTTCCATACATTTAAAACCCAATCATGAAAAATAAAACAAAAGTTCTTAACCACTAGAATAAAATAGCAAACCTATGACCTCAGGGTAGGAAAAGATTAATTTAAACACAGAAAGCACAACTCATAAAGTGCTGATAAATTTTGAATGGCAAAATGTATCATAAATAAATATGAAGCACAGTGTTGGAGAATATATTTGAAACATATAACAGAACTCCAACATATCAATAAAAAAATCTTCAAACAAGAAAATGACCAAATACATGACCAAGCAATTCATAGAAGAGGAAATCAGAATGACCAAGAAATATAAGAATGTATACTCAAAATCACTAAAAATTAAGTAAATACAAATTAAAACCGAATTATATACTCACACTCATCAGATGGCAGAATAATTAAAAATTAAACAATAGTTAGCACCAATGATAATATAGTGAACTAGGAACTTTCACTCACTTCTTGATGGAAGTGTAATTAACACAATCCTTTTGATATGCAATTGGGAAATATCTAGTGAAATTAAAATTGCATATAATTAACATCTGAGTGTTTTCATTTCTGGTCATATATAGTAGAGAATCTCATACATCCATAAAAGGAGACATATATAAAGATAGCGATTTTACTCTTTTTTCAAAGAATGAAAAAACATACAAACTGCTAGAAACTCAGTTGAACCAGGAAAGAGAGCCTGGTTGTGAGAAGTCAGGAGTAGCCAATTAAAGAAACAAGCCAAAATAAAAGAGTTTAGCCTTTAATCACTTACTGTGATGGTATATAAACCAGAAAAAGTGCTGACTATCTTGTTCCATTTTCTCCCAAGGAACACATGCTCACCCAGGATTAGGTAGATCAGTGGGGTCAGGCAATCTCATTGTTGAGAGAGCCCTGAACAAAAGGCTCCATAAACCCAGTTTCATAAGCCCAGGGCCAGAAGGGAGAAAAAGGGTTAGGGATGGAAAAGTACTAGGCAGTGAGTCAGAGTGGGAAAAAAGTATCTTCCACTTTCTCCCCTCCTTCCCAATAAGGAGTCCTTGGCAGAGGCACCTGAATGCTTCAGGTAAAGAGACCTAGGAATGAAGGCATGAGGCTAGTAGTGCAAACACGTGAAGAGCATGACCAGCCAGAAGAGCCTGAGTCCTAGACTGTAACTCCCCTTGGAGACTGCGATGAACTGGCTGGGCCTCAAGTCTGGTGTGAGGAGGGCAGATTTCCCCCTTGAAGCTTGCCAAGTAAAGCCTTTGCAATAGCCTATACTTGGGCATGAAAAAACAAATCACAGATTGGTTTTTAACCAAAACCTTATCTCCTCAAACACATAAAGCAGTAGGAATATGGGTAACTTAAAAACAAAACAAAAGCTAAACTAATATATTCAATAAAATGAAATTCTCTACAACAATTAAAATTGAACTATAACTGCATGTATAAAAACAGATTTCTAGGACATAATTTTTGAGAGTAAAAACAAATTGTACAAATATGGACAGTATGATGTCATATGTGTAAATTCAAAATTATAAAACACACATATTTAATGAATATTAATATAGTAAAACTATATTTTGAGATATGGGAACATATGTATATGTATAACTGATTCACTCTGTTATAAAGCAGAAACTAACACACCATTGTAAAGCAATTATACCCCAATAAAGATGTTAAAAAAAAATTTCCTCTGTTATAAAAATAAGGAGGTGAGGAATCAAATCTCCTCTGTTTTTTCTTCATCTGCCAAAACTTTACTCATCCCTTAGATATGGCTTCCCTCAATTTGTTTGTA